GGGAGTGTGCTGTGGCTGGGGGGGGGGGGATGATTACATGGCAGGGATGGGGGTGCTGCTTGCTGTGCAGAGAAACCAGAGCCTGACCTGGTGTGAAGGAGCAGAAGAAAGTGTTGAGCATTCAGAGGCCATAGCTGTCACTATGTAGGCACTGGTGGGCTGCACTGTGTGTGTCCTACTAGCATTCAAGTGTACAATCCCAATGCACATGTTCCTGCGTTAAAAATGGCTGTGTGTATAAGTGGGTGCACATAAGTGGGTGCTGCAGCGACCGTCGGCTGGAACTGAACAGAATCAGCAAGGGAGAATGTCACCAGCACACCGAGGATCACCAATATGGGTCCAAAAGTTTTAATGAATGATCACATAGTTACAGCAAGGCAACGTTTCGGAGTCTCGCAGGACCCCTTCATCATGCATGAGACAAGGCAACGTTTCGAAGTCTCGCAGGACCCCTTTATCAGGCATGTGATGTCACATGCCTGATGAAGTGGTCCTGCGAGACTCCGAAACGTTGCCTTGCTGTAACTATGTGATCGTTCATTAAAACTTTTGGCCCCATATTGGTGATCCTTGGTGTGCTGGTGACATTCTCCCTTCCTACTAGCATTGCCACATGGGAGGGCTGAAAGAGAAGCCAAAGTGTTAGGTGTTCTCTATTTCTACTCCCTGTGTGGTATGTGTCTTTTTCTGATCCCCCAGTGGCAAAATGGAGGTAGGATAATTTTGTACATACAACCTATCTGAAAAATAGATTTTAGGGTTCAAATTTAATGTGCAATAGGCTTGGTTCATAAAAATATTAGCACAGGACATGGATTAAGTGTGCTGTCTTTTTTTAAAAAGAAGGATACATATCCTGTGTTAGCTTTGTGAATTCAGCTTTGGATACCAATTGATGATCCTCTTCAGTGATGTACCCAGGATCCCTAATAGAGGAACAAGAGTTCCACCCTCCAAACTTCCCAGGCATTGGAAAAAAATATTCCCAGTTATGAAATGTGTACAGGGAATCTGGGGAATGTGTTTGTCTGAGATTTCCTATGACATCACTGGCACATACACCATATTTAGTATGGTGGATGGGTCACAGTGCCCATCTGAAAGAGCCCTTAAAGCAAAACTAAAGTCCACTATACTCACCTCCACTCCAGCGATGCAGGCTCCTTCTCCGGCATCAACATCTTCACTTGGTCATCCTTCAGGTTTGGCATCTTTTAATTGTTTGAAGTTTGTGAGCTGGCATATTAGAAGGTTTTACAGCATAACAGACATAAACATACACATTCACATGCATGTGCAAAATTCAGCTTGAGCTACAGAGCTCTGTGAGCAACTGTCTTTTTTTTTTTTTTTTTTTTTTTAATCAAAGGACATAAGGAAAGACTGTAAAAGTAAAAAGGACAATGCAAAATACCTATATGCAATATTTAATATTTACCGGTACATGATTAAAAATAAAGATAATTAGAGCTTATTCACACAGGGGCATGGATCTGTACACCCTTGCAGAGGGCCGTGCTAACTGCCTGGGAATCAGATGTGATCGGAGCATCTTCACAAATCTTTACACACATCCTTGAGTATACATCTGTGTGGAAATAAAGTTCAACTTTGAACGCAGTCTCTCTTGCATTCATAGCCATGCATCAGTCCTGTACAGATGTACATGGATATATGTGGGAATATCCATGTGCCTCCCAGACAGATAAACATAGCCCTCTACTACATGGGTGAACTAATAAATGCACCTGTAGGAATGAACTATTATACTATAGTATAATTTTACATAAAAGCAGTTGCTACACGGGGCAAAAACTGGTGTAGTCCCCCAATACTGGACTGTTCACAACATTGTGAACTGTCATTTCAGTCATAGTGCCTTGATGCACCATAGCCTGTGTATCATTTCAGTTACTTGCTGTTACCTGTAGATTTTTTTCCATGTCTTCATATACTTGTCCAAGATTATCCTCGCGATTCTGAAGTGTTATAGAGGCTTCATGGTGCTTTGCATCCCACATCCTATATTCATGTTCTTCCACCTCTTTATATGCCAAACAGAGCGTTCTCAGAGTCTCTTCAGAAAAGACCTAGGAGTACAGAGACAAAATGGAATTTAATCTTTGTAGTGCTTATGTCACAAATACATTTTTACTGAACAAATGGAGAATATTCCTGTCCTCTGATGCTTTCTTAAATGGCACTCTCTGTGTGGATTCTACTCAAATATAAAATCATGTTAGTTTAAAGAGAACTTTTTCCCTGGTTAATGCAAGTTAATAATGCCTAAATCCAGCCAAAATGTTTTTTAATTTTATTTTGTGCACAGTAGGGAAGAGTCAGGGGCGGACTGACAACTCTTGGGCTCCCCGGGCAATAGGGGATCATGAGGCCCCTGTGTCCTTGGCCAAACTCAAAAAAGCCTATGAAAAAGGTACCATGGGCATCTCATGGGGCCCCCTACTGACCCCGGGCCCTCGGGCAGTGCCCGAGTTTCCAAATGGTCAGTCTGCCCCTGGGAAGAGTTAAATCTTATGGGAAGTTTTAAATGTGTGTGTCACTGTGAAAGAGACTTCCACTTATAGTTCTGTCTGACACTCATCACCTTGATAGGAAGTAAGCACAGCCAACAGCATTTGCGTCTTGGTGGTGGGATTGCAGACTGGACAATGCTGTACAGTGAATTCATAAAGTATTCACATCCCCTTCACTTTTTTCAATTTTGCTATGTTGCAGCCTGAAACTCCAGTTGTTTAATCACTTGCCTACCGGGCTTTTTTACCCCCTTCCTGTCTGTGTCTCCGCTTACACTCAAGCCACACCCACAAAACACCCCACCTATATATTACAGCTCAGCTGCATAAAAAGGGCATTAAAAATTATTTTAAAAATAATAAAACAATGGGGGGGGGGGGGTCCCCCTTCCATTCATACTAAGCCCTTCAGGTCTCTTATGGATTTTGAGGGGAACACCCACGCCAAAATTAAAAAACAAACGTCAGTCACGATGCCCGCAGCCGCCTCTACCCAAAAAAAAAAAAAAAAAAAAGGCTCTGATCCCGACGCTTGCTCCAGGCCGTCTGACTGCTCTGCTGGCTTGACAGTTGTAAGGGGAGGGGCCACCCGGGGACATCATGCGTGTGACCCCGCCGCTTGTGGCAACTTCAACCGGGGCATGCTGGGTCAATAATGTTACAAGGAGGTGGGGCCCGCCCCTTACATATTTAAGAACTGTCAAGCCAGTGGAGCAGTCAGACGAGGAGCCAACGTCAGGAGCAGAGCCTTTTTTTTTCTTTTTTCAGGAAGCGGCGATGGTGGGCATCGTAATTGATGTTGGATCTACTTCAGGGGACATGCTTTTATTTTTCTTCTTTTAATAAAGGACTTGTCCCAGACTGTCTTTTTTCACACACTAAAAGGGGGCTTCCAGATTCCAATAAGCCCCCCAGGGAAGAGGCCCTTGTCCCCATCAAAGCACCCCCCATGTTGAGGGCATGTGGCCTGGTATGGTTAAGGAGGGGGGGCGCTCGCTCATCCCCCCCCTTCCTGACCTGCCGGGCTGTGTGCTCGGATAAGGGTCTAGTATGGATTTTGGGGGGGACCTCCACGCAATTTTTTTTTTTAAATTATGGTGTGGAGGTTCCCCTCAAAATCCATACCAGACCTGAAGGGCTTGGTATGGATGGAGGGGGGACCGCACGCCGTTTTTTAATTATTTTTTTAATTGCCGTAAAATTCTCTCTTTTATATTCATCTGTCAGTGGGGAACCCCGCTGACAGCTGAAACATTAACGCATGCTTTTCACTGCTGAAATACCGCATGACTTGATAAAATAACTCATGCGGTATTTTAGCAGCGTTTTTTTGGTGAATTCAAACATTTTTTTTCTTTAAATGCTATGCGGTATCCTACCACATACTTGGATGCGGTAAAATACTGCTTAGTGAATTGTGCCCAGTGAGCCTCTCACCGGGCCCCCTATTGACCCCAGGCCCTTGGGTAATGCACGAATGGTCAGTCCACTCCTGAGTCTGAGGTATTTAGTGAGAGGCATGGCGAGTTTTTTGAAGTTGTAATTTTTTGGCATAATTTTGTGGAAAATTAACACACTGTCATCAATGCAGTACAGTGTCATCATATAACTAGTGTGGCAGTGGTCAGGGACACTAACTGGTGACAGTATGAACAAAAGAAAAAAAAAGAAAAAATGTTACATTAGTTTTTGTTGTGATCAGCTATGATTGGCCATAGCTGATCACATGCTACAGATAGGCTGTGATTGGCCCAGTCTATACATGTAATCACTGTGACCAATCACAGCTCACAGCATAGTTTTAAGCAGTGAATGGCATGTAAGGAAGCCATTCATTGTTTACAACTGTCATGTGATCTGCTGTGATTGGTCACCGCGATCACATGACACTGGCAGCAGGACAGTGTGGTGATCTGTCATCGGCTGTGTCCCGAGGACACAACCGGTGACAGATCGCCTTTTATAGAAAGGCGTGTGCCTTTCCAGATCATGTCTAATCAATTTAATTTACACACAGGTGGACTTCAATCAAGGCATAGAAACAACTCAGCAAAAATCAAGAGAAATGGGAGGCACCTGAGCTAAATTTCAAGTGTTGTTGCAAAGGGTCTGAATACTTATGCCAATGTAATATTTCAGTTTTTCCTTTTTTATGCATTTGCAAACATTTCTAAAATTCTGGTTTCACTTTGTCATTATGGGGTACTAAGTGTAGATTAATGAGGGAAAAAAACAAATTTATACAACTGTAGTATCAGGCAGCAACATAACATTGAAAAAAGTGAAGCGGGTCTGAATACTTTATGAATGCACTGTAACTATACAGCTTAAAGCAGAGCTCTACCACAAAGGGGAAGTTTCGCTATAAGCCTTTGTCCCCCGCTCCCCATTAAGGATTAGCATCTTTGGGGGCCGGGGGGGGGAGCAGGTACCCGAGTGTGTACCTGCTCCCACTTCCGCTAGGCGAGCGGAAGCAGAAGTTGTCCTCCCCGTAGTCTTCTGGGACACGTAGTGACAGGTCCCAGAAGACTACGGGGCCATGCACAAAGCGCAGCACTTCTCGTGCATGCGTAGTGGACACCCGGCTGTGAAACCGCAAACTGTCACAGCCGGGTGCCCACACTGAAGATTCCGGCGCCAGGGAGACAAGACGGCCAGTGAAACCAGCCATGGTGAGGACACCGCTGGACTGAGGGACAGGTAAGTGTCTGTATTTTAAAAGTCAGCAGCTTCAGTTTTTGTAGCTGCTGACTTTTATTTTTTTTTTCAGGTGGAACTCTGCTGTAAGAACTATAAGGGCTCATGTGTACAGACAGTAGTAGGCATTTTCTAATGCCTAGTGTAAATTTCCTGACACTTACAACATACAGCCTGCCATACATGTTAAGAGCTGTATGTAGGGTTGCCACCTCATCCCTTTAAATGCGAACACATATTTATTACACATGTTGTGTGGCAGATTAAGGTGGTAATTAAACTCACTTAGTGCCTTATCTGCATTAAATTAGCTTTATAACCTGTGTAATTAATATGTGTTCAGTTTTAAAGGGATGAGGTGGCAACCCTAGCTGTACACGGTTATACTTTTAAAAACACAAGTTCTTCCTTGCATTGGCTTTTACCCACGCATGCATACACAACAAATTTCTAAATACAGTGGACGTGTAAACACAGGGACATTTACACAAGGCATAAAAATGCCTATAATTGTCCAGGTGCATGACCCTCATGAATCTTAATACTTACATCCAAGGCATCCATTAGGACCTCTGTGTTACAATTAGGATGCAGTCGTTGTAATATGACACTGTCTGCTCCTTTGGTGTAAAGTTTTATTTTTCCTTCTTCAGTTCTTACTGTAAGAAAAACAAATACATTTACAAACATGTGAATCTGATCTTTTCTAGGCAAAGGTTTAGCTGGAGCTCCAAGAAAACATCTTTCCTTCTAAATACCTTATTAATACAAATGAACTATGAAAATAAAATATTTATAAGAACAGAATAGATTTTTTAATACAAATATTTCTCTTTAATTCTAAGCTGTCTTTTAATGTTTAACTCATCAAATTAACAAATTATCACTTTGAGGTCTCCAGTCACAGCACACTTTTTCAGTCATATGTTGTGGGGCTTATTTATAAGGATTGTAAAATGTGCAGCTTTATCCTTCACTGCGCATTGCTAGTAAAATGCAGCATGTTGCAAGTATAACCACCCTGGTTATAAACAACTAATAATGTCAAGGGTGATATCTTTTGTATTTTACTAAGTGAAAAATCAGCGATATGCAAGTTTCTTTTTAAAAAGTGGTCACCCATCAAAAACACACCAGCTTTTTTTTTGTTTAAAGCATTTGTATAGTCAAACATTTTTTTGTCTTAGTTTTGGACAGAGCGTGGGAGGATAGGAAAGCCAATACGATTTGTATTGGGGAAGGGGGCCGTATAGCATCCAATGCCTCTGTATAATCTTTCCTGGGACCTGCAGCTGCTACGAACAGACACTCATAGACATCAATAAGAAGATTTGGCTGCACACAGTTATGCGCCAGGGGTTGTGGAAGGCACCTGCACTTTATCTGCATTTGAAGCATACACCCGTGCAGAAGCTTTACACACCCCCAATGTATAACCATGTACTGTTTCATCTCCTAGTTGATGTCTATGGGTAGCTTTACATAGCAGCTGCAGGTCCCAAGAAAGTTTTTATGGAGACTCTGGATGCTGTACAGCCCACTCCTGGTGCGTGAATCCTTTAACTGTTTGTTCTGTCCTAGACAACATATGCAAAATCACTATACATTACCTGTAATATGAATAAATATTGCATTTATTGCCCATGCTAGATAGAAGAAAAAGGGGGTAGTGGTTGAGCGTTTAGTAGCACCCTTTCAGCCATTGGCGGAAACTTACTGATCTTGTTGTTAGTTTATATTATTGTGATTTATATAGTACCAACATGTTACGCAGCACTCTGCATACTGCATATCAGTACCTGCCCTCAAGCAGATCACTATCTCAATCTCTCTCACGTACATACACACACATACCAGGGTTACAACCTCATCCCTTTAAAAATGAACACGTATTTAAAAATGAATATGTATTTGGTTTTAAAGCAATGAGGTGGCAACCCTAACCAGGGCCAATTTAAACATTAGTGAATTAACCTACCAGCATTGGAGGAAACCCACAAAAAAAGCACAGCGAGAACATGCAAACTCCATGTAGACAGTGTTCTAGCTGGGATTTGAACCAAGAACCCAGTGATGCAAGGTAGAAATGCTAACGACTAAGATGATGTGCTGCACTGTTATCTTTATATTAATAATAATAAACAATAGCCTTGCCTCACTCTGGAATTTCAGAGATGACAGCACAAAAATCCAGAAAAATAAATCTATTTGTTGCAACTAAGGGTAATCACAAACAAGAAATATACACATAAATACATTACTATGCAAATGTTTTAGGCAGTGTGTGAAAAAATACTGTAAATTAAGAAAGCTTTCAGAAACAGAAGTGTTAATAGTTTATCAAAATCTAAAGTAAATGAACAAAGAGAAATCCAAATCAAATTAATATTTGGTGCGACCACTGGTTTCCTTCAAAACAGCATCAATTCTTCTAAGTACAATTGTACACAGTTTTTAAGAGAAGCTTGGCAGGTAGGTTGTTCCAAACATCTTGGAGAACAAACCACAGATCTGTGGATGTAGATTGCCTTAAATCCTTCTACTGTTTCATGTAGTCCCAAACAGACTTGATGATTTTAAGATCAGGGCTTAGTGGGGACCAAACCATCACTTCTAGGACTCCTTGTTCTTCTTTATGCTGAAGATAGTTCTTAATTACATTGGCTGTATGTTTGGGGTTGTTGTCCTGCTGCAGAATAAATTTGGGTCCAATCACAAGCCTTTCTGAAGGTATAGCATGATGGATAAGTATCTGCCTGTATTTCTCAGCATTGAGGACACCATTGATCCTGACCAAATGTAGCACTACCTCTTAGGAGTCGCTGAGTTTGATTTGGGCCCCCCTATGCTCTGCCACAGCCAGGCAACATTCTTATTTTCTGTAATTTTATTAAGGGCTTGAGAACTTGGATGGGGTCATGAGGTTAAACTCCTTTGCAACCATCTACAAAAAATATGGGTAGCAACAGTCTCTCTCCCCTTGAAGAGCTCCAAAGACTTTTCTACTGTACCTATTCAGACCCCGGATGATTACTCTTTTTCACCCAGCTGCACTGAGAGTATTTCCTGGGCAAGGGGGCCCAAGAACTGTTAGTTTAGAAACAGTCCCAGATGAGAGTTGGGTCCTTCACCTGACTGCCCTCTCCCCTTATCCTGCCCAGGAAAAGAGTACCCACACTGTCCTCTCCTGTTAGCTTGGTGGGTTGGTGGCTGCCTTCAGGCCTTATGCTGAGCTAACTACTTTCCTGCTACACAGGCTGTCCTCCCAGGGAGACATTAAGGCAATGGAAATCCTCTTCTCCAGCAACTGGCCTGTAAGTGGGCTCCCATCCCTGGGGCCCCCGCCCAAGCTCCACACTCCAGCCTTCATCAATTCATCTTCTGCCTGACACTGCACACCTCCCCCCAGGCTCTGCCACACTTGAGGGTTGCCTTGGTCCACCAGGGGCTTGGCCAGGGTCCCTCAAACATGCAGATATAAGCATCCTTCCCTCCATCCACCGGTCCTCCAAAAAGCTCTCAGGTTTCTGGAGAGATGTGAGGGCTCCAGAAGCCCACCCCTGTAAGAGCCTCCTAGCCTGTCCTGAGGTGAACTTCTGCCTCACTCACAGGCTTACTCAGCCTCTGACTGACAAAATAAACTACTTAACTAAGCTGGAGGGTGTTACAGAAATCTCCAACTCCATTTGCAGAAATGCAGCCCCAACGCTCTCTTCAGAGTTTGCGTGGTGTAGGCCTGAGCACTGTGGGCCTAATGCATGTTTAGCCTAGGGCCCTGCCTGGTCAAAGAGGGTACACTATGTTGTAGAAGAGCCCGATGGATGTCTGCTAGAGGGGAAATGGTTTCTGCCCTCAGAGGGTCCACTTTCTTCTTTTTCCCAATGGATGTCTGCTAGAGGGGGACTGGAGTGTCTACTCTTGGAGAATCCTGACGCTACTTTGGAGTAATGGAGACTAGAAGCCTGGTTGCTATTGCGGCATTAACCTAGCTCTCTCTTACTTTGAGCTGGAGCAACAAAACTTCAAAATGTGGTGCCCTTCATTGTCATGTAATACTCTCTACTGTGGTCATGGATCCACCTTGAGGTAAATGCTGGCCTTATCCCTGCTGGAGATGAGCCCTCTCTCTCTCTCTCCCAGGTAGGAGGGAAGTTAAAGAAGTGACGCTAGATTATGGTTAGATCACTAAAGTGAGAGTGCATCTCCTGGAGAGTGTTTTGAAGTGCAAAGAGAATGCTAGAACATTGCAGTAAGTCTGGTGGCATATCCAGGGACTGTAGTGCTGAAACTGCTGGTTCAATTTAAATGTTCCTTTTACTTGTAAGGTTGTAAGTAGAGGTTTGTTTTAAGTCTGCGCATTGTTCTTGAGAGTATTCTGTGGTCTTTGATAAAAACTTTGTTAATTGTTTAAACGTGACTGGTGCCCATTGGTTTACATTCTCACTACAGGTCAGCCCACTTGACCTCTGGTGGTCTCTAATAGAGGGTAAGGGGGTCCTATAAAATGTCATTGCTGTTACAAAAAGAATCTTAGTTATTGTTACTTTTGCCATAGATGAGCAGTTGTCTTGTCTTCCTTACATTTGCAAATCTTTGGAGGTGCTGGTAGCCACCAAAGTGTAAAGTGTGATTTGGCCAATGAAAAGTGTAAATCTCTTTGTGCAGAAATATGAATTTCCAAGAGTAGGAAAGATCTATTATCATTTCCTATTATGATGCTCACTCAAGTACCTAAGTGTTGTATCGAGACATCAAATCAGTGCAGGATACAGCTTCTTGTGACCGCACTTACTGTAATCTTCAAGCACCAAACTAGCAGACTTTGGGGGAATTCAATAAAGCTGCTGATCCACTTTCCTGTCAGCAATTCCTCTTGTCACTGTATTGTCAAATTTTTGAAGCATTTGTAACACTTTTGGTTCTGACAGCGACTGGTACACCACGTTCAGGTAGTTCTAAAATGCGCCAATTTTACATTGTGTCGCATTGA